GTTGGGGAGACCAAAAAAATGCTTCTCCCATTCATGGCTTTGAGATGCTTTGAGGATCAACAACGATCACGTCCTTTTGCTGTCCAGATTTCTTCCACACGAGTAGATCTGGGCTGGATGGGCGTAGGGCTTGGGAGCTTCAGGCATTTAGTGTCATGCCCAGAGAAGCATGATCCATGTTTCTACGCACCCGACACCCCACTGACACTGAGTACCCTCAACAATCATCCGTCATGGGATGGTGATGTGCTTGTCTTGCAGGTTGATCAGCAAGGGTTTGAAATGACCAGAGTGGGCTTAGGTTGAAATGAAGATGTCATGTCTGGACTCTAGTTGCGTCTCAAATCCAACTGCTCGCTGGGACTGCTTTGGCAAGCGGTCTGCTATGTTTGATCCATAACCCACCTTTGAAGAAACAGTCGTGTTACCCCGCCTTAGTCAGCAATCAGCCTGCACAGTACCCTGGTCACGCTGGTTGCAGCATGCACGATCCTGCAATGCTGACCCTCATATATTCGGATCGATTAGGGCACCCCCAACTGCGGAAATCTCCCGAGATCCCTGATTTCGGCTGAAGCGGGCTGCGCACCCGTAGGTAGCTTTTCCCGACATTGGAGGGCCTGGCAATGCCAAGTTGTCATCCAAAGAGCAGTGAGACGACCTGTGGCCCTGGTATAGTCGACATCATGATGCTCAAGCATGGAGAATGGGGGAGTTACAGCCCGCGTAAATCCACAATGGTTGGCCGCGTAACGAAATCCATGCTCGGGCGTCTTAACTGACAAGATCCAGCAGCCGATTGGCTTCTGAACGTGCGGTTGGAATCATGTCTCAAAAAATCACCTTGAGGTCGGTTCGTGATATTGTTGCTGAACCCTATACCCTAAACCCTATATAACTCCTATAATAAAATATTTTCCATGTTCTTTTCCATTATCCCGAATATATAACCCCAAAATCATACCCTATTATACTATAGTAGTTTCTATTTGGTTTTGCATTATTCCCAATATATAGCCCCAATACCTAGTAGTGTCCATTTTCTTTTCCATTATCCCCAGTACAGAGTTGCAGGGCAGCCTTTCTTCAAAATAGTCCCCACCTTTGTAGCCCTTAGCCAAATCACAGTATACAAGTTTCCATGTTCTTGTCCATTAACCCTAAGATAACCCCCATGATACCTACACAAACCCTATATATTTCATATAACATCAAAGACCGCGTTCTCTCCCAAATTTACACATCGAACAGGCCATCCACCGAACTTCCACCCTCGCCTCCGCCAAGAGGGGGTTCGCCCTTGCCTCCTTTACCATCTTTCCCTGGGCCACACCAGAATGGCAAGTTGAACGCGATCATGTTTATCTGACTCCAGCCACAAGTAGGGAGTGGCTTGATGAAACAAAGTTTCTTAACTTGGCCACTTGAAATTCTGTCAAGATGTGATGACAAGGGGGGTTCCCAAAACTATGAGTACTATTTTAGGGGTCCCCACACTACGGGCTGTAGTATTTTGAGGTCCATATGGGGTTCCCTTAGGGAAACTACCGCAATCGTGCATTGCATGAACGTTTGCAGCAGGCAGGTCTGCCTGATGGTCTCTGGTTGATGGACACGATTGCAGGATCTGTAGCCTCGAGCACCCCGCAGCAGAAAGTCAGGCTTGAACCACATATGAAACATCTGGAGGGACCACACCCCATCAAACCCATTGATGTGAAGGACTGCAACATGGCTTGGACTGCATCCTGGGACCAGCCTGGGACTAGATCCTGCCACAAGAGCTTTGCTGCCAGACTACCGCGCCAGGCTGTTTCCCCGACTCAAGAACGGTCAGATCTTTGATGTCCTGGCCGCGGAAGATGATGAAGTCGTAGACCTGGACGCGTTGAACCCACAGCCAGCACGGAGTAAAGCCAAAGTATATTCCTTGCATGAAAAGTGCGTGCCGGCAACAACCTTTGCGTGTAGGAAACGGAGTCTTGAAATGGCGAAGTATGAGCCTTTCCGACAACCTCCTTCTAGCTTTGGGCTCCGGCAACCAAAGGTTGCTGTGCATATGCCGTTGGGCTGCAGTTCGTGCAGTGGTCTCTACAACTCCCGATCCATGCTCTCTGCAACTCTGGGATCTCAATGGCGCTCTTATTGACAGCTTGGGGCTACTATGAGCGTATAAGTAACACAGACATACAATGAGCCTTGAACTGTAGCAGTGCCTCTTTACAGTTTGGATGGGTTTCTTATCAATAACGGCTCCCCGGTAGCTACCGATGGTATAGTCAGTGTTGGCTGACATTGTGATCAAGACCATGGCCAAAACAAACAGATTCACAAAAACATGTTGGCTCAAGCAACGTGGCCAATAATATGCTATGATATATAGTGGTTTCCATTTTCTTTTCCATTATCCCTATATAACCCTATATTCTCCCATATATAGAACCCTATATTATTTCATCCCATAGAAGCCGAAGTTGTTTCCAGATGTGCAGCCCTCCTATCTGAGCCTCGGTAAGCCTGGATGTTTCTATCTTTTCAGAAGTCTGATATGATAATATAGGGTTCTAGAGGGGATAATGTAGGGTTATATGGTAGTTTCCCTAAATTACTGTTCCCAAAATGGGGGAAATTTATATAGGGCCCCGTATCATAATGGGAACCCAAATATAGGACCCCGTATTATAGGGAATTGAGACCAATCCCCATATAGGGACAACGGGAAGGAACATGGAAACTACTATGTGCCTTATATGTCCCATGAGGACTGTTCTTTAGAAGGCTTCAAGGCAATATATCATCTCCAGACCTGCGACACTATATGGTACCCAATAATATAGGGTTCAGGGCCCTATAATGGAGAATTTAAATGGAAAAGAAAATGGAAACTGGGATTATATGGGGGTTAATTGTGTAGTATTTTATTAAACCCTTCCATCATCCCCCCACCCCCCGAGCATTCGCGCCTCACTGGAAGGAGGTATCTCAGGCAGTTTCCTGCAGAAAGTTTAGGACGAAATTCGCAGCAGGAGCACCAGAGCCAGGATCCCTCTGTGTAATCCCTATAAACCCCTACATAATCCCAGTGTCCATTTCATTTTCCATTTTCTTTTCCATTTGATTCTCCATTATTGGGGGCAATACATGATCGCCATAAAGCAGACCTCGAAAGTGGGATCTTGAGATTTAAGAGACCCGTAGAGAACTACACAACAGCTGACAAGGAAGAGAACAAATGCATTGCAGCCACTTCACGTAAGAACGAACACTTCCACTGCCCTCGTCAGTTGTCCACTGTCAGACTCCAAACCATGCGCCTGCCCTCCGTACCGAAACATCTGACGGACTGCAGCGCTATGGTGGACTCCTGCACTTAGGATGGCAGAGGCCCGTCCCACATCATGAGGCAGGTTAGGACCGCATAAAATTAATAGAAGTTTGGGGCAATGGCGGTCTCTGGCAGCAGTGCCCCACATTGGAACCCTTCCTTAAGAGACCCCACCAGATAGTGGAAAGGCTCGGCACGGGGATGGGGCTGTTGAGTCATCATGGGGACTGTCATTGCACCATTGCAGAGCCCGGGACGAATCCACAAGAAACAGCGGGGTATTGATGATAGGGCCTTATGAGATGCCCCGGAGGACTGCCCAGGTCAAAATGCATGAGGCTGCTTGCTCTGACCTTGTGTTCTTTACCTAGCTGCAATCTAATCTTCTGAGTGCCTCAAAGCCTGTGACCCAAACAGACACACCCTGAGTGAGCTCTACCTTCCCTCCGCAAAATGATGTGGTGTGGTAAACAGCTGCGACAGGTAGACGGTAGACGCTTGAATCTGCTTGTACTGTAGACATCCATGCTCTCCATTTCGCACGCTTAGGCTTGCCCAGCACGAAATGCTACAGGGTGAGAGTCGGAGAGAGTTGCTTCCCTCCTGCTAACAGCCCCTGCCATGGACTCCGACTTGACTTGGTCATGCCAGGGGCAGGATAGGCAGGCACGTTGCTTGGTATGTACATAAAGCAACCTTTGCAAGAACAAAATGCTGAATCCTATGATAGTCTACAACACGGACATGGGTGAAAGTTCTGTGCCTGCCTCCGCGGCAAGTTACCAGCCTTCACTGGCTACCTACACGTCTCCGTGAATTGGTTACCAAATGGTGCTAAGTCCCAAGGTCCTTGACGAGAAAATGAAAGCAAGAAAGGCATCACTGCCCTGCGGTCGAGTTGGATAGCAAGGCCACGTGTGGAGCCGTTAGAACCGCGAGCTTCAAGTAGGAAGTTGCCCAGTTGGTCACGGACCTCGGTAACATGGGGGACTTAATCAGAACAAGGTGCTGCGGCGTGCTTAAAAGGTAGCTCTGAATAATTTGAAGATGGTTTCGTAGCGTCAATTTTGGAGCACAAACTTCACTATTTGAAGCAGAATGTGCCATAGCCACATCTGCACGACGCAGGAACAATGAGATTATATGGCCATTTCGTAGTCTCTGTAGATTGTCCACACAGCCCTCAAGAATATTGGGGGGCTTTAGTTGCCTTGTAACTATCATATTATATGACTACCCTATAATAACTAATCACTATCATGTGAATGTAATGGGTCCTAATTCTCGAGGTTCGGGGAAACTCAAAATGAGCATCTAGAGCAGGATCAAGGCCGAGAGAGCATAAGCACTGCTTCTCAGGGGTCAGTCGACATGCCTTGCGTGTAATACCTTCGGCGGACCCTCCACCGAGAGAAAAATTGACTGCAAAGGATGATGGTGATTATATTCGGGCGAACCTAAGCCCTAAGCAATACCCTCCTTTCTGCAGCTATCCCTCCATAATCCCCGGGCTAGTCTTCAAGAATCCCCATGGAGGCCCTGAAGGAACCTTTGATGATTCCTATAAAGCCCTATATTCTACCCCTATATACTATATAGCAGTTCCCATTCTATTGTCCATTCTTCCCTATAGTACCCTATATCCCCTTCTGCACTGGCCCTGATCCCAAAGGGCTCATTGTACTCCTTCTCCGAGCCAGGGTTGAATGTCGCGAAGCACTCCTGAGCACCCTACCCTTATGACCTATAAACCCTATATAGGAATAATGGAAAATGGAATGAGAACTACTATATAGTATATTTAGGCGTAGAATATAGGGGTTATAGGAATCATCCCCTAGTTCCCACATCACTTTAACCTTCTCACCCCTAAAACAGAGCCCTTGTGTCCATTTCATTTTCCACTTGAGTCAAATTGATTCTCCATCATTGGCAGTAAACCCTATGGTATTAAAAACCCTGAACCAGGCTGACCCATGAGACCCATGGTCTGGTGGAAATTCTGACTCCATGGGATTGCCTGGAAATTTTCCCGGCAAAGAAGACTGCGCACCCGACGGAACAAAAGCCAGGAGCAGGCATACAGTTACACGAGAGGAGGCAAAGGCTCATTCTATTGTTGTAATGCGGTTGATACTAGGGGCAATACGAGCTATAGTCTAACTCCTCGCATCCGCCTTAATAAGACCTATAATACCCCTTTCAGGAGTCTATTCTATAGCTTCTGCAGGGACTGTCGAAAAAAGAAATAAATGAACTCATCATAATGCGGATGCCAGAAGTACTCAAACGCACAGATGTGCCACAGATCGCAAGAGGAGCTGTAGTCTGAACTCCATAAATGGGGTCTATAGGGAATTCTGCAGAGGAGTATAAGAGGGGCTACTAAGGTGGATACTGGGAGTTTAGACTTAGACTGTAGCTCATATGCAGACATTGCTCTGCTATCAAAATTCGGGATCCTCCATTCCATGCCTCCGCCTTGTCATAAAGTCTCTCAATGTTATTGGGCCCCTTCTTGGAAGTTATATAGGAACAATGGAAAAGAAAGCGGAAACTAGCATAGAATAATGGAAAAGAAAATGGAACTGCGATGGTCTAGGTTCTGAAAAGGGACGACATTTCTAGGGGCATGCAGGTGGACTACAGTTTGGAGCGACTTGCACATACGGTAGTTTCCCAAAACATGGGAATATATTGGAGTTATATAGGAATAATGGAAAATGAAATGGAAACTACTATATTGTAATAGGGTATCTATGGGTATATTGGGAAATGGTAGTTTCCCAAGGTGATGCCCCGAAATACTCGAATCCTTAACAAAAGGATCCTCGAAAAGGCACCCTTAATTTTGGGAACCCTAAACCCTGAACCTCATATATCCACCCGTATATACCCCCTATAAACCGCACCCCCAATGTTAGCAAACTCCAACACCCAAAGCACCGCCCTACGGCGAGACAAGCGTCCTGGGATGCGGCGTCCAACCTTGGGCAGGGCAGGGGAATGGGAGAATGGGTTATATAGGGATTGCTGTACCGAGCCATATGGGGAGTATTATACAGGGTTATATAGGGACTGCCAGAAGGGGTTATTATATAGGGACTACCATAAGGGGCTATATAGGGACTGCCATCAGGGGGTGTATAGGGACTACCATAAGGGGTTATATAGGGACTACAAGAAGGATTACCATAAAGTGTTATATAGGGACTGCTTGAGGGGTTATATAGGGACTACCGTAAGGGGTTGTATGAGCTGTAGTCTCAACTCCTAGATAATACCCCCCTGTATAATCCCCTATCTAAGCTCATATCGGGACTCCCATACGGGGTTGTATAGGGCATGCTATAAAGGGCTATGTAGCCGCAGTTTGTCGGCAAAAGGGAAGTCAAATCTACGACCTGGTGCCAAACAGAGAAGTAGTGGTGCTTGTTACGGCCCTTTGAATGTCTGTAGCAGAATCTAATCTGTTGCCATAGGATGGGATTTTAGGGTTTAGGGGATTAGGGTTTAGGAACTCTAAACCCTAAACCCTGAAACCCTAAACCCTGAAAGGCCCTGCCCATCTACCTGCAACTCCTCAGCACCTGGATCGGATCACCTCTGAAGGATCTAAAAAATCAGCTCCCATATGGGTGGTTGTCAAAATTATGGTCCCTTTTGAGGTATCCTGAATATATTAGGTGCCGTATTATAACTGGGATCCAAACAGGGACCATAATTTTGACAACCATCGATATATGAATACCCCCCTAGAACCCATATAAAATTCCCTATCGCGTCCTGGGGCAAAAGGTAGATCCCTAAACCCTAAATGCCGTAAGGTTTTCGTGTCAGGGGACCTGCTCTGACCTGCAAAGTCCGAGAAGTGGCCTGAGTAGATCTCCAGCAATGACACGCTTCCTGCCGGTGCAGTTTCCGTCTCAATTTTCCATGCTCTTTGCCGCGAATTCTCCATTATTAGGGTTATATCCCCTATTCAATTCCTATATGATGCTGAAATTGTGCCCACATAATCCTTTTGTTCTCCCTAACTTCTGCCTATAATTATAACCCTATAGGCGGACGTCAGGCCGAAGGATATGGAAGCTAAGTCTGAGAGTCTAAGAGGATTGCTGTTACTGTCGCCTTTATCTCCAACCTTCAGGACGCAATGTGAGCTATGGAGTAAAGATAGGTTGAGGGGGACCTATGAGGGGATGTATAGAGAGGTTGTGGGGCACCTTCAAGGAATATACAGTAACTTTGGTACAGGGCTCATGTGCCACCAACAAGGGCGGATTTCAAAGGCCCATAATTTGCAAGGACCTGTGCCCTGAGTCCTTCGACACCACCCTCCAAACCTCCCTACGTATGTATGATAATGCATGATGTAATTCTATGCAATCACCTTTGTACTCAGATCTACAGACTCACGATGTTGTTAACGTAAAGCCCAGCTCACCCGCTGTCCTTGAAGCATAGAAGGTGCCTTGCTGAGCTTCTCCTTAGCTGCTTCAAGCAATTCTGGCGACATCTAAAATGTTCAAAGATGACGATTTCCTTATGTTGGGAGTGGGGTACTGGGACAGAGTCTTTGAAAACACCCATCGGATTGCGCAGAAATGGCAACTGAACACCTAGAGAGGTTCAACTGCGTTGCAATAGCAATCTTGTTGCTGGCATCCTGTGCGCCACCATAATGACTACCGCGGCTTCATTTAAAAGGTCACGGTTCTCGCCATTAGCTACCATTCCTATTTGCGCTTTGGCTGCATGGCTACCTTGCTGGAAATTCTGAAGTAACTCCACTAACATATTGCCCAAGACTCCTGCCAACGGGACTTCAGGGCCTGACAGGCAGCTCTGCAAAACACTCCTTGGGAGGGTTCCGAGGTGTCTTAAAGGCCTGGGGCTGGGAGCCTTCCCACCTCAGCTGTCACCAATGTCTTAACACCGTGCATGCCCCGATGGCTGCTCTCTCAACCGGCTTTCCACAATGCATCTGCTGCTGGCGGTTGAACTCATCATACTACGCTTCGGTGGCAAGGTTACAGCACATTTAAGCAGCTGTTTGGGCTACAGCAGGCACCTAAAAACAGTGACTGATTAATCCCCTGCCGTCTCGACGACTAAGGCAACTTCTCCCGGCTGCTCCGTTGCTATGAGAGACCAATTAGCTGCACATCTCCTCTGACAACTTGCCTCCTGCCATCCGGAACCCGAAGCCCCACCATTGGCCCTCCACTTAGGCACCTCATACTCGGCGGGGTGAGCGTAGATCTCCCATGCAAAGGAGAAAGTGGCCTGTCAAACGCAAGAAGCCAGGGGTTATATAGGATTTTCTCAGGGCATTGCCTTTTTTGGGAGGTCAAAGGGGTCCAGGTTTTCTGTGGCAAGCTCAGGACACCAGGGCCAGGATGGTTATAGGAACCAATCCTGACTATGTCTCTCGATTTTTCTGAAATCAGGTATTGATGCCCTTGGGCAATACCATAGCGCAAGAGTGAGAACAATAGCATCACTCACTAGGACCCGCAGCACCATCTCCGTCATCTCCCCTTGTCCTATCATAAGCAGACACGGATACAAAAACCTAAAAACCTAGTGGAAGAGCACTCTTCATGGAGGCCTGCAAGTGGTCAAAGACCCAGTCAAAGCTTGTTCCCGGGCAGTTGTAGCCTGAGAAAGCTGAGGGATGGTCTAACGAGGGCATGGTAGCTGGGGGACAACCACCCTATTATCTTATATAGTCAATATAGTAGTGTCCATTTTCTTTNNNNTATAACCCCAATATTACCCTAATAGTACCCCAATATAACCCCAATATGTTGAAAAAATCACACAATGCAGATGCTAGGTGGACCTGCCATGAAGACTGGGCATCCCAAAATGGCATTTGCCTGCTACAAGTAGTAACCCCCCGAAACGGAGGTCGGTGATCCGTAGGGTATGGATCCTGCGAAGAGGGTGGATTCTAAGACCCAAGCTTCAGCCCGAAATCCCAACCCCCTACCATAATCAATACGGCAAATTGCAACAAGCCCTCCATAAAAACCCCAGGCCATAAGCTCTTGGAACCCGCATACTGCCACCCATAATCCCTAGAAATCAGCTACCCAGACCTGGGATCTCCTTGCTGAAGGCTGGGAACCGACTTCTTTGCCAGCTGCCCCGAACGGGCACTGACAGTGGTCGGCATCCAGGTCCTCTGGGTGCGGGTGTAGGTAGGTTTGGGCATGACCAGTAGCTGTCCTAAACTTGAAGAAGCCTGATATCCTTGTGGTGCAAATACAGGTTTAGCCTTCCAGGCCATCAACAGCAGGCTAATCCACACTTCCTTCAAGTATTCAAAGGAGAACGACAAGCAAGGGAAGATAAGGGAAGATTTCAGGTGACTACGGGCTTGGGATTTAAGGCTTGGGCATACAACGAGCAGTAATGCTCAGGATCTCAGTTTTGGGGCCTAATCGAATGAAAAGAATGTCTTCGGGACTCAGAGCAGGCTGTACCAATACTACACATAAGAACTGAGATAGCGATCCAAACCAAAACTTGATACGGTCATTGAAAATGTATTCGTAGCAGAGGTTATACGAGTATCGGAAGTAAGAAAACAACAAGGGTCTGGAGTGTTCAAGTGAGCTCTTTGCTTTTTCACCCTAAACCCTAAACCCTAAACCCATTCCATCAGAGGTCTTCAGCTCTTGGCTTGGGAGCAGTCCTTTGACTCTCTGGACCCCAGCATCTCATTCTCAGAAATACTATCAACCCGGATAATTACCCCCCAAAGTGCATGTGGTCATACTTCTTGTTATCTGCCCCCCCACAACAAAGAAAACTTGAGATACCTACTACACATGCACACGCTTAAAGCCCTAAAAGGTGTCCTTCAGCACTGCCAGCATGGCATCGCGATTGCGGTGCGCCATGTGCACGCTGTCGTATGCCCAGGGCATGTAGAGACCCAACCTAGATTCTTGCTGTGGGCGTGCAAGAGAACATCTGCAGTCCAATGCATTACTGCTCTTTTCAAGGTGCTGAATCGACCATGGCAGGAGGTGAGGTTAAAGCATCCAAAGCTCAGGCAACAATTCTTACACCTCGTATGCGGGGGTAAATCCCTGCCTGGGCCAGACGACCAGAGTGTCTCGCAAAAACGAAATCTTAGCACGGCCAAGCAGCGTACCGCTATGCACGGAGAGGAAGGTCGTGGGCCGGAAATCCGTGAGGAGGTCCCTCACAAGTTGGGTTTCTGGCTCGCTGAAGGGTGCCTCACCACGATACTGATCTCCGCTTTCAGCTTGGTCACCAAATTCCCACTTCTCATCCCAGTTTCGGTTCAGGTCCACACCACGAGGGTTATCCCTCAGGCAGTAGTCGCCCTGCTCAACCTTGGCCCGCGAAATCGGGTTGGCATTGAGAATGAGCTGGAAGTCGCTTGTCGCCAGCGCCTCCTGCACCAGCTTTGGTTGGGAAGTTCCACCGCAGAGCATCTTCAGCAACATCAGGCCCGTTTCTGGACTGATGAGCTCACGGCTATGCTCCCCAAAAAGGAGGGCGACCCTGTTTACCTGTGAGCCCTTGCCACCGTGAACGCGGATCTCGTCAATGGACACATCCCCTTTGGTTACTGTCTGGAGGGTAGCTTGAGCTGAACAGCCATTCACGAGCTCACGTGCCGCAAATTTTATCTGTTCGGAAGTGTGATAGAACGGGAAGTCTGCCAGCAGTTTGCTGGTTTCACTCAGCAACGACTCCGCGCCTTTCCGCAAATTGACAGCTTCAGTGACCAGCGTGCAGAGCGGCAGAAGCAGAAGCGCTTTGCGGGCCATGGAATCTAATTCTTCACTGCTTCAAAGAAATCACTATCAGATTCATAGAGCCGGGTAGAGCCACCACGGCCTCGGGCAAGGAAGGCCTTGCAACAAGTTCACAACAGGATTTCCGCTGCCTTGAGTGGCGTCCTGGGAATAAGAGTGCGGACTCATTGAAAGAGTGATGGGTGATGAGAACCACGACCAGAATAAGCATAGCAACAATAAGCACGAAAATGGCACCATCATGCTAGCTACTCATGGGTCATCTAATCATGGTGATGTGGTACGTAGAATCCATTCCAATGATTGTCGCAGGCTGCTGGTGTCTGGTAGGCCGTGGCACGGGAAAGTGAGGAGGAGAACTCTATTGTCCACTGTACCCGACATCCCCAAGAAACAGCTTCCTGTGTATTGATCGTGTAGAGGATGCCCTCGTATCGCAGCTCCGAATTCGAGACCAAGCCTGAGCGTCCATGCTCAAGGCGTGAACATTAGGTAGTTTCCATAAAGAGGGATCCCATGTAGACCCCATTTCCTGTAACCCTTATGATGGGGCATGGGGACCGCCCAACAAGAGGGACGCTCAATTTTCTGAAACCCCCGTTGGTTCTCGGTCTTGAAAATGTGAAGGCACTTCACGGCGACTTGCCATACATAGTCCATTTGGACTCAGTAAAGTATGACCACGCCAACTTGACACCGCGCCCGCTTCCAGGTTAGGGATGATAAAGTTCATGTCTGGACTGACAAAAAGTGGATCCCTTCTATGAGCTCTGTTTTTTGCTGCAGCGGGGTCCTCACGCAGAGCGGATGAAGCAAAGGCTGAACGGCAACGTGGCATCCCCTGAGTGCCCCACTGATCTTGCGTCCGATGTACGGCACTGCGCTTTGAGACATGGTGCGGCCTCTGCAGGGCCAGGTTCTGCCTTTTGCACGATTACCAAAGTTTCTTGGGTGCAGCATGGGGTTGGCGCTGGTTGCCCTCCCTGAAAAGGGAGTCAAAGACTTTGGGGCCAGTGGCTGGTGGCTGGCGGGCCATAATCTCTTCCCAGACAAACTGGTGTAGCTCAAGGCTAGCAAAAACAGCCACCCAACGGAGGAAGCTTAGCCCAAGCGCGACTGCTAAACGAGCCATAGTCTAAACTCCTAGCATCCCCTTAACAACCCCTATACCAGTCCTCTATATAATCCCCTATATGACCCCCTTCAAGGGATGATGTAGACTCCAGCTCAAATGATGCAGATAGAAGCCAAAAATCACCCTGAACTGGGAGAAGGGAAGCCAAGCTCAATTTATTCTCATTTTAGTTTTTAGAGCTTAGCGGTTCAGGGCTTTAGGGGTTTAGGGCTTCGGGGTTTGGGGCTTTAGGGTTTAGGGCTTTGGGGTGTTGGGCTTTGGGGATTTATGAGCGGCAGCCCTCAACTCTGCATCGTGCCCTTCAAAGACGTCGGCGCCTTTCTTCCTCTACGCAGTCTGCTGCGTCAAAGCTTCGTGGCCAAGAATGGCTGCGGGGAGCGGCAAGACTATTGGATCACAATTTCTCGTTCAGGCGAGATTGCAATGTTTAGAAAACTGTGAAGAAAGAACATGGAAATGACAGGCTGCAAGCTGGCGGATGTGAACTGCTAGAGTCGCTTTTAAAGCTCAAACACATTCCAGGAGTCGCCCGGTGACTAACCAAAGTACGCACAGCACCCTGCAGATCACAGCAATTGCTCTGCAAGATTCTATCAGCGGGCTCAGTAGGAAGTCATTGAACTAAAATCTCTGGCTTCTGCGACATGGCCAAACCAAGAGCCCTGGCATACGCCAACATGTCGAGGCGTCCTCGAGCCTGATTTTTGGCGGCCTGCATGTGACGGAATGCCAAAGCAAATGGCAGACTGCAGAATGCTGGGGAATCTTGCAGAAGAACGGGAGATGCCTGGCAGACTTATACGTTTGGGTCCTGCGGTTTTGGACCTCCTTCGGAAGGGGTCAGCTTCAGAATTGGCCAAACTCTTCTGCACACAGAGTTTCTAGGAGACCCTGCGATAACCGCCTCAGGCACGCGATGGCGTTGACCAAGGGGCCTTCGGCCACACCTTCCTGCCCATCAAGGAAGTCGTGTGGAGCATCTGCGCATTCCAACGAATGGTGGAATGGAACCCACATCCCAAACTTGCTGAATATCTGGAGAAGGTGGATTCTTGGAGTCTTGTTACATGAAGCCGCAACAGCCCTATCATACACACCAACCAACGTCTGCCAGGTGTCCTTGGCGAGCTCTTTTTGCACCTGCACTTGGAGAGTCATGGCGCTGGAGCAAAGTACAGCTTTGGGAGACAAGTGCAAACTGAAGCCTGTCACAGCATGTGGTTCTGGCTTTGGCCTGGTGTTTACAACTTCGGTCTTGGGAATTGAACTCCAGGATGTGTGGTTTGGGAGTGCGGCCTGAGATAGCCAGGGAGCTGCCGCGCCTCTACCCCCTCCTGATCAAGGCAGGATGAGCTCAAAACCAAACTAATTTGGGGGTTGGGGGTTCTTGTAAAACTTACGCAGGTATTAGAAGGGTAGTGCAGGGGAGGGGGGGCCCCTGAAGGATCACATAGGGTCGGCTTGCAAAACTCTTTTGAGACTGTAACAGAAGGGCTCGAGTACGGCTGCACGATGGAGACTGAGAATGAGGCATATGACATCATATGACATATGCAAGATGTTCCCAGCGCTGCAAGGTTTTATAGGATATCCCGAAAATTGGAAATCCTTTTCCTTGTAGAACGTCCCACCAATTGGGAGTATACATGCGACACCCTGGGCGGAGATGTTGCAACATGAGGATCTCCCTGCAACAGGGACTGATTTCGGTGCTGTAGTATAAGGCGACCATGCGGTGTGGATCTTCTCAGCCTCACCTCTTGTAACACCTTCGCCACAATGAGCCATAGAATGATGTGCAACCAACACAAAACAGAACCCTGCACAGCTGTCTCTCAAAGATGAGCGCCACTGTATACCCTCAGCAAACAGCAAGAATTGTCAATACTTCAAGGTGCTGGGAAAGGATACCCCCGCTCCGGATTCTTCGAAGTGGGCATGCGTGCGGTGGAAACCTGGCACCAAGGTCGCACGGACGCAAAGCTTCACATTTGGAATGATAACCATGAGAGGATTCAAGACTTGTTTCTTTCAAGCACTGGTCTTCTGCCTACCTCTCGAGTCTGGCGTCATTAGGCTTTGTGCTTCACTCACGCTGGCACTGCTACTAGGCTACTGCGCATGTAGCTTCCACAAGGACAGAATGCTGCATGTTCCAGAAGACTTTGCTTTTCCCGCAATGAGTTGGCACTTCCCTGGTCGGAATAAACCAGCCAGCAGTTTTGGTGGTCAAGCTTTGGAATGCAGAGATTTCCAAACACTCAATCTCCGAGCATTTAAGGTCTACATCTGCAACCCAGCTGCCAGCAAAGCATACTCCTCTAGAGCAGATCGGCACGAACCTCCCCTTCGGGGAGGCCAAGCACCACACAGAATAATTGAGTGGCCATACTTTGAGACCACCTGCGGGCAAGCAGCAAGAACCTTGAACGCTCTTCCTTTCCGTGCTAGCAAGACCAAGCTCCAACAGCCTTATCAGATACTCATGAACACAAGAAGATGTCCCACACGGCGACGGACGGCCGGAGACGAGACAAATACCTTGATCCCTACAAATAGAACTGCGCCCCTTTGATGCTGAAGAGGGTGGGAGCGAGTCCAAGGCTTCCCGCCACCAGGCTAATGAACCATTTGGCCCATCGAAGTACTTGTAGGGCAGAAGTTGTCCTCGGGCTCCTTTGAATGCTCTGAATGCAAGGAGCCTTGATTCGATAACTGCATTTCGAGCTGATTTTAACCAGCTTTGTCAAGCCTTAGACGCAGAGACATAAAGATACATCGCCAGACCTGTAGTACAGCCACTGCTGGAAGATCCACTCAGAATTGAGCTGAGAGCATTGAAGCCCTCTCACTCGAAGAGTCATCGTCCTGCCGCAGGACCGAAGTTCAATGACCCTTGTAACCGGATGTTGTCGAGATCTTTCTTTTACTGCAGGTCTCCTTGTTGAAAAGTTAAAAGGAAGCTTCAGCTCTCCACGGCATTGCACACTGTTCATTGGCAGCGTGGCATTTTGCGCAGTGCTCTGCTAGAGAACCCGTCACTCTGGCAGGAACATGCGGGCTAGCTGATGCAACGTTAAAAAAGACGATGCCATCCCCGTAAAGATGCTGAAGCAACTCTATCATCTAGACAAACTGCTCGCAGACCCTTTGAAACCATTTATAATGCGTGCAAGGTGGTTGAACCGCCGGCTCCAAACCCTAAACTCTAACAACCTGCGCCAAGCCCTAACTCCTGCACCCAAATCCCAACACACGGCTCACCCGTTCTTAAGCTGTTGGAGAAGGGGAATAGATACCACTGCTATGGTATTTCCTGGATGCGTGTGCAGATGATAATTTTGGGTGATTTTTGTACTTCGGCAAAACCACCTGCTGTCACTCCACCCACCAGAAACCCTAAGCCTGGAAGCCCCTACACATGAAGCTTTCCCCAGATCTACAGGCGCCTGAACTCGCGGAGATGGTCTAAATCGTCGAGCCTGGTCCGTCCAAGGGTTGAAGGCTTCTGGTTTCAAAAGAACTTGGGGTACTATGGGTTTGAGAGATTTGTAGGATTTAGGGCCCACGCCAGGTCTTAGGTTTGGAGGAGCAGTTGATGAATTCAATCTTGCATAACAAAAGCCTGAAAAGATCATGACGGATACCATGCTTCCCGAGGTCACCAACTATGATTGATTGAAACCAGTCGCTGCCATCAGGCCCTGGTATGACCTTCCGCCCCAAAGGGCAATCATTTCATAAATGTCTGTGCACGGTTTCCAGCGCACGTTGCACATTGCGGATGATGGTCTCAGCCATGCGGAGCCATGTCGATAGCAACAAATGCAACAAGTGTAGAACCCCCACAAAGCCACTTGTTTGAACTAGCTTACAAGCAACCCCCATACTGCTGAGTGCTGAGATTGCATTCCAGATTTGGAAAAACCGAGGAATCACCCGTGCCATCCATGCAGGCAGGACACGTTCTACAGTAGCTCAGTAATTGATTCACCTGGTGGATGTCAAGCAAATTCCTTGAAAAGCAGCCTGCGCAACGGAGAAGATCGCAAGGAGCAGAAGCGCAGATGCCTTGGGTGTCACCGTCATATGAGCTATCCCGCAGAAGCCATTCAGTCAAACGATATACTACGGAGACTACATAAGGTTTCTCTTCTAGGGCCTCATTTCTGTAATACTTGCTGAAAGAAAGTGTGACAGATACTGAATGGATTTCAGAGAATCGCTTCACGGCTTGCGGACAGGAGTTTCTATGTGGGCTCAGAAACAATGCGTTCCAGCTTTGGAGTGGAGAAGTTCGGGCCCGATCGCGGCGGGAACCATGCCCTACAGTACCGCTCGTGATCTGAGCGATACGGAAACTGTTCTATGGCGGATAATATAGGGGACTACTATACGGGTTATTAAGGGGGATATTAGGAGTTGAGTTCAGACTATGGCTCATACGACATGGCTCCCAACAAGATGATGCTGGTCCGATCCAACCTGTACTCGCTACGATGAGGCTCAGGAACATACTGATATCAATGGTCGGCCACTACAGCTGTCATCGCTATTCTCGCCTAGGTATTGTCCAAAACCTGATATTGGTATCACAGCTTGCAAAGAAGCAAGCGAAAAGAAATCCTGATATCCTACATCAGTTCAAGCGAAATGCTTCCCTTGCACTTGCCAGGATGTGCCAGGATGATGCAGCGATGGGCTTGCTTCCGTTACAGTTTCGAAATAGGCTCAACACATCTCTCAAGTTCCAGGCAGCAGCAGTTGCTGCCGTCCAAAGCCACGTAACCTGAGGCAGGGCTTGCGTTGCAGGAACTCCGTAGACAGTCCCACCAAGCCCGGGTCTGGCCTTCTCCTCGCGCGGGTCGGGGCCAAAGCGTTTAAGGAAGAACAGAGACTTGGCCTCAGTGGCAGTGTGACTGCATCGTTGATTTGCACTTCTTTAAACTGCACTTTGCAACCGACCAGTCTGATAGCTGGCCAGCAGGCAATGAAGCTGAGCTAGGCCCAGCTGGGTACCCCGCCACCTTCATCTCTGGCTCCATGGTCTGACCTGTATGCTTTCTTCAGCTTCAGCATTGCTACCCTGGCAATGGCCGGACTTGAGCGAAAGGCGATGCAACTCTGAGGAAACCCACTCAAAGGCTTATCTGTGGGACTCCAACCTGACACCCAAGAACCAAGTGCCTCAAATTGAACCGCCGGCACCCCCCCGCGTTCAATTCAAATGTCCTGGGATCCTGAACCAAACCCAAGAAACAAACGCAGCTCCCCTCAAGAGTAGGAAGCGGGGAAAGAAAATACTGACATTGCAGAAACCTGTACAAATGGACTTATAGCAATATACTGCGCTTCAAAAAGCTTGCTGTTGGTACCCAAAGGCTGCCAGGCCTGTGCAGTCATGGACCTTTGGCTTCTCGCACTGGTTGGACATGAGTGCCGATGGGCAGGTCCTGAAACCAAATCTGACACGGCAGTTGAGGATGTAGCGCGGTCTTCCTATCGGTCCTAGTCATAATCGGCTTTGGAGTATTGTTTTTTGGAGAGTTGTGGGGGCAATGAGGCTTTGCAAGTCTTGGCTGTAGCGCTTCGAAGACATCATCAAGCCCGCGCATCTCATTCCTCCAAACTTTGAAAGAAGACGCTGGTTTGAAGCACTGTGCTTCACAATTCCAGGTAGCGTGCGCAAGCCCAATCCCAGCCGCACATGTCGGGATTTGTTCACCTTGCTTGTATTTTGTGCCTGCTACTAGCAATACTCGCGCTTCGGTTTTGCGCGGTTCTTTTGCCAGCCTGCGCTGGCAAGGCGTTTTCCAAAAAATCAGCTCAATAGGACAAGAAGATAACCTGGCCCTTGCGCAAGCCTGCGCGCACCCCACACAGGTGCCGCTCCATCAACCTGAGGCCCTGAATGCTCGTGCTGAAGCCAAAAGATCTTGTTCTCACAACATTTGGGGGTTTCCCAAAATTAGGGGTACAATTATGGGGGGTCCCAAAGGGGTACAAGTATGGGGGGTCCCAAAAACAAGGATTATAATATTTGTGAACCTATATTGGGGTCCCCCTATTTTGAGAAACTACCATTTCTCTGTGTGAGCACTGCTGACCCCCTCTAGAATTGTAATATCGAGGTCTGCAGGCGGTGTCTGCAGTCATGCTCCGGCTCGCTACTGGGAAGGTGGCATAGTACTTCTCCCGGACTCTGAGTGGATGTGGGGACCCAAATGCTAGACCCTAAAACCCTAAAACCCTAAACCTTATATAACCCATTATAGTAGTTTCCATGTTTCCATTATCCCTCTTTAACCTCAATGTGACAACAAAATTCCCACAAAACCCCTAAACTATACATTACCCATTATACTAGTTTCCGTTTTCTTTTCCATTGTCCCCATAAAACCTCAATCTTACCCCCAAATACCCACTTGGTGCTGGACGAGCCATCTGGACAGCAGCCCAGCCCATTGCACATCACATGCCTCAGCCCACACGGCTGCAGGATATCTTTTAAGAATATTACAAGTACCATATAGGGGCTACATTGGGATTATATAGGGTTATATAGGGGTAATCTGGGGGTTATATAGGGAGAATGGAAGTGAAAACGGAAACTACTGTAGCGCTTAGCTTAGGCCTAGGCCCCTGACCACAAGGGAGGATGGTAATTATGCAAGGGTTCCCGCAAATTCCTGCCAAATTCGCACCAGCCCACTTAAAATGCGAGCATCCCCTCACCATTGCTTCTGAGTCGTCAGGTTGTACGGCAAGGATAATGGAAAAGAAAATGGAAACTACTGTAGTATAGTAAGGTTATAGAGGGGTTATATTAGGGCTATATTTGGGTTATATAGGGATATTACCCCAATAATGCTTAGCCTCGCTCACATTACCTGCACAGACTGACTGTGGAGTAATTATCTGAAGCATGGCATGACATTCATGACATTCACGGCCACAGCTGGGGGCGCAGACTCATTCCCTGGACAGGGCACGCTGGCCTTGGATGAATCCCAACGCCCAATAGCGAAATACCGTAGTTGTGACAATGAACCTTCCCAAGATTGTGCAAGTTCAGAATCAGATTCGGCATGATTCGCCTTGGGGGCAGGAAGGTTAAAGCACTTGGGGTTGCTTGAGTCAAGCCTACAAGAGGAATCAACAAAAGTTGCCGAAGAAGGCACATCTCTGTCACCACAAGGCATCTTACAACGTTGGCATGCAAACCTCAGATCGGAAATCCACTAGTCAGCACAGCGGTGAGAAATCAGAAAACAGCAACGCTGCCATCTACTCATTTAGGCCTAATTATCGGAAAGCAATTGCTTTCGTCTCCGTTCAAAAATGTTATGGATAATGGAAAAGAAAATGGAAACTACTATAGTATAGTAGGGTTATACAGGGGTTATATTAGGGCTATATTTGGGTTATATAGGGATATTACCCCAATAATGGAGAATCAAATGGAACAGAACATAGAAAATGAAATGAAAGCCCCAGGTCCCTTTCAAGGGGTATATAGGGGTTATATGATAATGACTAAAAGTTTAAAAAAATAGAAGATACTTCCTGGTTGTAGCCTGGGTTTGCCAGACACCTCAAGCGCAAGTTAGGATCTTCTGCACCCATGGATGGATTCCAGCAGGAACCATGTTAGCCCGAACAGCCAATACCCTGAACATGATTCATGCACAACCTCAAGCCCCTCTAGCCCATCTTTCCCAGACCTCCTTCAAGCACAGCATGCTCAGCAAACAACTGACAAGTAAACCTGAAGAATCTGTGAGTTTCTGCCAATATCTATGGTGATCAAGTAAGAGGACTAGAGACCGTTGTTCAATTGCAATTGTGGCTTGGGTACCCTAAACCCTAAATAATAGAGACCCTGGTTATCCCTGGTTCAATTGTGACAGAGTCCCTGAGCCACGGGCTCCAATGGAGCAGGTCGCCTTGCCCACTATCTTGGGCGCTTCCATACCTCATGCAGTCTCTTTGCCTAGAGTCCACCTTAAGTAGATAGAATATGGGGTATATGGGGGTCATTACAATAAGAAACCCAAAGCCCTAGTCTATCTACTTAAGGGCGAGTATCTTTGGAGCGTTGTGGCTTTGTAACAGCCACATAAGACCTACTGTTGACATGATCCATTGATGAGATGGCAGTCGATGACACATTGTCAACCTTCCAAGTGCGGCAGCACAGACGAAAGAGTCATCTGAAGAGACATTGAAGTATGGCTTCTAGCTTTCAAGCTTTGGGTTGCCATGCGTGTGGTCCTCTAATTCATTTTCTGGTAGCGGCTTGGCATCGCAAGCTCATCTTCAGGTGCCCGGAAAAGCCGGCGTCACGCTGTTCAAAGTTCCGTGCGCTGTTGAATTCACGGAAGCTCTGCAGCATTGCAGCACGGTCTGAAAGCGAGAAAGCAATCAGCACAGCAGCTGTTGGCCTGCTGCGCATGCTGTAGGCTCCCTGCGTGCCTTCAGGCATCGCCAGAGCACAGCAAAAAGGCCTACACTGTAATGCGTGCAGGAAAATATTCAGGGCAGGCGCGGGCTCCACCGGCTAAGCACCCTGAATTCCTCTTGGAGAGGTCAAAATTGCTGCTGTTGTCAAAATTGCTGCTTCTCAGGAGCTGTGTCCGAGGTAGCCTTCGTCGGAGCTTTCTTACCAAGTATGAAGTTGAGCACACCCATGATGGCGTCCCACGACTCCTGGATAGGAAGGACGATGATCACGAAGGTGGCCACAAAGCTCCAAGCGATGCTGATGAAAACCCAGAAAGCAAAGTAGTCCGTGGTGAAGACACCAGCAGGTAGGGACAGCAAAGGCCAGATCAGGACCATAACGACCGTGAAGCCCCAACCCCACTTCTGAATCCACCACTTGGCTGCATCCAAGAACTCGGAGGTGTAGTCTTCCTTGTCCAGTCCGCTCATGTCCTGCTCGAGCATTTCCTTAGTCTGCAGCATCTTAGCAGTCTTAGCACGTGTTCTTACTCTTAGAGACGTCTCAAACGCTTCGTGGCTCAGCGGGCCTCGCGTAGACCTGGACCTAGACCTTGTAAAGCCTACACACGTTATTTCGGTGCAAATGAGCCCGCCTTAGGAGTGTTCAGACAAGCATCGATCTTGCCCATGGACTCGAAATCGTAATTCTGAGGGTTGGCAAGGGAGAAGGCGGCATGGATCAGGGCCGAGGACGCCAGGGCCACGATGTTTCCAGCAAGGTTTGGGTTCAGCGTGCCCAGGTTGTCGATGGTGATTGCACCAAACTCAATCTGGCAGACGATAAGCCAGGTGGACAATGCCAGGATCATGCCGCCCCAGGCAGCCACAATGGCTCCCGTTGCATTGGCCTTCTTCCACATGAGGAGGTTCCAGAGTGGCACCACGGCAGAGCCGATGGCGTTGCCCATGAACTGGTACACCCAGCCGAGGTTGAGGCCCATGTAGTTCAAGCCCACGCCGAGGCCACCCATCAGGAGTCCGAAGACCACCACTACAACCTTAGAGATCATCAGCGCCTGCTTCCCAGTGCACTGCGGGTTGATGTAGGTCTTGTAAATGTCGTAGGTCACCAAGGATGACACGGCGATGCCCTCTGCGGAGCCTGTGGAAGTAATGGCCATGAAGAGCATCACCGCCATCATCACGGATCCGAAGCTGCCGAAAAGGTGCGTGGCCACCGCTGGGGGCACAAGGCCACTGCCCGCCTCGCTGGAGGAGATGGGCAGCTGCAGGGCCACAGCACACAGCCCCAGAGATGTGGCCAAGGCAAATGGGATGGTGAACCAGACCAGTCCTCCCAGCAAGTAGCCCTTGTGGGCGCTGGTGGGCTTCGCTGCGATGGCGGACTGCCAGTAAGACTGGTCCACGAAGACGGTGCCGAAGTTCCCGACGATGTTGATGATTCCGAACTTGGTGCCTCCTCCCGACAGCATGGTCAGGTAAGAGCCGCCCTCGTTCTCCTCCACGGGGCCGCAAGCGTACTTGCCCTGCTCAAAGAAGGTCTGCGTGCCCTGCTTGAAGATCTGCTCGCACTGGGCCGTCGAGTAGCCCGACACCTGCTGGAGGCCAGCATAGATCATGTCCGATGAGAAGTTCTTCACGTAGACCGTGTACACGCACACCACTAGAACCAGGAAGATGATGGCAGTGTGCAGGTAAGAGGCCATGAAGGTTGCCTTCAATCCACCAGCAGCCGTGTACCTTGCAACACAACCACAAAAACACAGACCTCTATGCGCTCTCGGCCATACAAGGGTTTCATATTATGGAAATGGACGGGAGGGGTCTCTACTGCAACCCTTGCTGCAACTGCACAAAAAGTCGCGAGGTCTCATCCCCAAGACCAGCCGCAATCAAAAAATGTAAAAGCCTAGCTTGTAGAACAAGGTGCAGAATGACACCCCAGGGGATCAGGAAGGATGCAAGGTTGGTGTCCACTCCAGTCAGAGCGTTCACGGTGGCGGCCCCACCCAAAAGTAGCATGGAAGTCACGATGACGTTCGCAAGCAGCGCGAAGAAGAGGAAGGTCAGGTGGGCCGCTTTTCCCCACCTGCCACGCATCGCCTACTGTTTTCGGGAGCTCTTGCAGTAACTTGACTAGTGCGACTAAATACACCGCAAACTGGCGGCTACTTTGCTACTTAACTGTCATCATGTGTTGCTGGGCATCCTCGCCTTGCAAGGACCATCTCGCACACGGTGTGGGCTGTGCGTGCGCGGCGCTTGACCTCAATCGCCAGGATGCCGAAGAGCAGCACCTGGATCGTGGCACCACTGGCATACCAGAAGGGTCCAGACACACCATACTGCCACGCTACATTTGAGGACTGAAGCAAAGTCGCAGCCCACGTCCACTGCGATACAATCACAGACGCCGTGAGGCCTGTCTTTACAGACCGACCTGCAGTGTTGAAGAACTCTGACGTGTGTTCCGTGCCGTTGGCATACTTGTCCAAATAGACCAACACGGTAGTTAGCACCGAGAAGAATGCTCCAAAGCCTAGCACGATTGCATAGCCCGACTCGATTGGCAGCGGTGTGTTGTCACCGAAGAAACTCTTCTGGCCCGCGTACTGTGCTGTCGACGCCATGGCACTAATGCAGGTGGCACTGAGGCACTGGACACAGTTCAAGGCTGCTGCGTCAAGCCTGCACCCAACGGCGTTCGAATCATTATTCGGCTCAGAGCGGTCCTTCTTTGATTTTTGCTTTGCCCCTAGCTGGGAATGGAACACCTTCACATTTCAAGTCCGTGCGCAGCACCGATGCACGAGCAGCTGGCTGAGGCCAGGACAGGTGCAGTCACGCTTCTTGGGGCGAGAACAACCTGTAGCAAAACGAGATTTGTTGAATCCAAGTCTTCCCCCACCCACTGCAGCTCCGGCAGTCTCATGTTGGTCTCAGGAGAGGGAAGGAGTACGTTCCCATGTACTTGCTGCCATTTTTGCTAACAAGTGGGCCAACCCATGCACTCAGCACTTTGCTTCGCACAGTTGGATATGCCCATGCACCCACCTCGCCTGAAGTCCCAGGAGCCAGCAAGGGAGCTGATGGACAAAGCCTCACTGCATCAATGCAGCAGTGCTGTACGGCCCTCTATGCCACACCGGAGATACTGATCAATCATGAGGCCTGCCGCTATTAACAAGTATTGGGCAAACTTCAAGATTGCCGACCCTACAGTAAGCGAAGCCATCAGAGAATCGAACTTGACAACTGGGTCCCATCGCAACCGAATCCAAAAGAGGCGAGTTCAACTGAGTCCAATTTTGGATCTTGCGCTAATGTCCGAGTTTAGTGTTCAACCCACCCACCGTTGTCCGAAGCTCGAACCTAAGCCTGAGCCTGGCGCGAGCCGTCAGGACAGCAGCTGATGCCAGCACAAACGGACTTCCTTGATGACTTGGCATGCGCTGCTGGAACTTCACGCATGTTATAATCATCTGTAATCATATTTCGCCTATCCTATCCTAATAATTCTCATTGTCCTCAGCACTGCTGCCGTTGCCGGAATTACTCAACTTTGTCATTGCGTTCACGGTCATGGCCCATAAGCAATGATAGCAATCGCCCATATTAGTACGTGGTGCTGTCGTTTGTGTTGCACCTTTTGCGGGCTTATATCTTCAGTACATACTAGTGTACAGTATTCCAGGATTGACGAGGTCGTGGGCCTGCTAAGCCACCAAGCCGTCCACAACACTGAGGTCTGCACCCATCAGGGCATTTCACACCTCTTGCACGGATGAGGGGATGTAGTCAATTTACAGCTTCACCATATGAGTGCCAAAGAGCTAGAAAATCGTAGTGCCGGAGGGGATTGAGCTGGACTTCCAGAACTTCGCCCAATCCGAAAAGTGAGCTGGAATTCAATGGTGAGGTGGAGTAGGGTTCAACGGCCCAAGTTTGGATTTGAAGCTCATGGAATATAACTACATTGGGTGAATGCTTAGCATCACGCCCCCATGACTACAATGAAGTCTCCGTCCACTGCATCGAAGACACTGGACCCCGGCAAACATTTGTTGTCCTCGTCGCAGCTTGTGTCATCTGCCTGGCAATGGAAGGCCAGGAGCCACTGGAACATCAGCATGAAACCACGTCTCTTGCAGCTGTAGATTCTCATGTTGAAGATGATGACAACGGGACAAGGGTCTGAAAATGTCCGCTGCTGGAATCCTCAAGGCTTCAGCCGTAATATGAGCCATTCGAAAGGCTAAGCTGTCCTGTGGGGCGTCTTCTGTATATAGCGGGAAAATGCCGAGAAAAGTAGCTTTTCGCAAAAAGTCGCTTTTCGCAAAAAGTTGCTTTTCGCAAAAAGTCGTTTTTCGGACAAAAATCACTTTTCGCAAAAAGCCGCTTTTCGCAAGAAGTCGTTTTTCGGAGAAAAATCACTTTTCGCAAAAAGTCGCTTTTCGCAAAAAGGCGTTTTTCTGAGAAAAATCACTTTTCGCAAAAAGTCGCTTTTCGCAAAAAGTCGTTTCTCGGACAAAAAACACGTTTCGCAAAAAGCCGCTTTTCGCAAAAAGTCGTTTTTCGCGGAAAAGTTACTGTTTGCAAAAAAAATCGCTTTTCGGAGAAAAGTCGCTTTTCGCGGAAAAGTTAATGTTTGCACTTTTTTTTCGCAAAAAAGTTTGTTTTCGTGGAAAAATTAAGTTTTGCAAAAAGTTGCTGTTCGCTCAAAGTCGTTTTTCGCAGACAAATCACTTTTCGCCACAAGTCGTTTTTCGCGGAAAAGTCACTTTTCGAGCTGATGGAGTTTTCAGGTGGGTAGTTGGACCACGGGCCATATTTTGCCGTGGGTTGTCGTGCGCATTTCAAGTTTTCTAGGGTTTAAGGCATATGTCCCGTGTTCCGACGACACAGCATGTGCGAAGAAAACCTTGCTTCGCAGCACACTTTCAGTCAAGCCGGCTTGCCTCTTGAGCGCCATATGGGGTTACCGTCTTCGCTCCGCGGTCATTGCGGCGCAAGATGTCTGCATGCAGACAGATGCTGTGCAGTGTCCGGAGCTTCTTGGATGAATGCTAACCAGAGCATGCACGCCCAAACCATAATAACGCCATGTTTCACTGCATGCGATTACCAGCGCATCCATGCTCAAACCATGGTAACGTTCGTGTTCCAGGAGCATACGCAGAGCATCCATGCTCAAACCATGATTACGTTCGTGTTCCAAGAGCATACGCTCGCCCGAGCATCCATGCTCAAACCATGATTACGTTCGTGTTCCAAGAGCATACGCTCACCAGAGCATCCATGCCCAAACCACAATTAGGAATATTTAATATTAGGCGGCTAGGGGGGAAGAGGATCATACCCCCACCGCTGCACCCCAAAACCCA